TTATCAGAACCTTCTCTAACGGTGAAATTTCATTGCCTTCCTGGTGCCCTCAGCCCCTTGATTCCTTCCCTGCACCCCGTGAGATGATTTTTAAGTTCGTCAACGTTTTCGGAGCTGTTGCTTAGAAGTGGAAGCCACTGTGATTCATGAAAAGGTGCTTCATTTTCTGAAGCAGTTGTACTTTTCCTTTCATGTTTTTGCTGGTTGCTAGGTGTTCTGGGGGCTTTATTTACCGCATCCTTTTGGGTGCTGCAGTGTGAACAGTAATTCCGTGTGCTGGGTGGTGTCAGCTCGTGATAAATGGGAGCCATTGTTGCTTCCGTAGGAAACAATGACAGCCAAGAGGGACAATTTGCTGCAGTCCACAGGAATGCAAAAATAATATGTCACTGCTCTCCACAGCTAATGAAGACAAAACCTTGGAGCAAGCCCTTTTGGGGGAGAAGTGTGTGTTCTTGCCTAAGATTTAAATCTACTTTTTTTTTTTTTTTTCTCATATTGGGCTACATTAAGCAGAAAACCGTAAATTTACTCAGGGTTTTCCCCCCAGATTAAGAGAAAACAATTGTTCAAGAAGCTGAAGGACAAGTTTTATTAATATATCTCCAGTATATTTCCCCATACTGTTCACTGGTCTTCCCAGTAGATTTTCTCCTGTATTCTTGTTTAACTCAAAAACACCCCCCTATGCAACATGCTGTGATAATTTTTCATTTCTTCTTGCACACTTTCACTGGGTAGGTTTTTTAGCATGAAGTGGCAGCAGCTCAGCATTATATTTAATCAGATATTTACATAACACACACAGATCCCCAAACTGCGTTAATTTACTATGACGTTTTGCAAAGTCCGCTTTTAGAAAAGATGCCTCAAAAGAACAAAATGCCTGAATTGAAATCTATTTTTTGAGAGTTGAAATCTATAATTGAGAGACCAAGTTCACATGGTGGAGAGGGTGTTGCCATCACATTTGGGGCCTTTTCAGTCTTGTGAGTGCCTGCAACATCTTCACTAACAAGCTCTGAGGCACCACAGCAGGGTTCCCTGTTCTTGGAGCTGTTTGAGGACTTCTGTCTGTCAGATCTTTTTATTTCCATTGAGCATCAATAAAATCAATTCATTAGTTACTGTACATAGTGAGACATCAGTGTCTTTTCATATGAACTTGTTAGGAAATACATTTCTGCATCCTGAAGAGTTTTAGGAAATAAGTGCAATATAGAAGAGATGGATCTTGTTTTGCAACTCTTATTTAATCAGAGATTTTGTGAGCCCAGGACTAAAAATCACGTGGTAAAATCTTTGAAATGTGCCAACATTTTAGGATTCTTGATAGTGGATCCTAAGCTCAGAAGTTCCCAGTGTGTACAGTTGAGTTTTCAGAGTGTTCACTGACTTTTTGTGACATTTGGATGCATTGTTGGGTTCTTGGGCACCAGGAATTTCCTCAGGAGCTGTGCTACCCAGAGTGTCTGGCTCATTCATCTGCCACTACAAAATCCTGTGAGGCAGCAAGAGGAGGGTGAGAGCACTGGTTACACTGTCACTGGTGACCAGCCCAGCCTGCAGCCACCCAAACAGGCTCAGTGGGGAGGTGCCAACCAGATAGACCCTGCTGCCCTTGGCTGCTGATGGATCAGAGCAGAGCAGCTGCCCAGAGCAGGCTGTGCCTCAGCTTTCAGCCCTGAGAGGGTGTTTCTCTGGAGCAGACTCCACAGTCCTGCCCTGGAAGCATCCTTGCACCAGCTAGGAAGCCCTGTCCTGGTTTAGGTGATGGGAAACAACAGAATCACAGAATGGGTTGGGTTGGAAGGGACCAACCCCTTGCCATGGGCACCTTCCCCTATCCCAGGTTGCTCCAAACCCCATTCAAGCTGGCCTTGCACACTTCCAGGGATGGGGCAGCCACAGCTTCTCTGGGCAACCTCACCACCTTCACAGGGAAGGATCTGGCACTGAACTCAGTTTGCTGCTGCTTCAGCTGATCATAAAATAGCAAAACTTGTGCCTGAGGCTTCTGGCAGCTCCTGGCTGCATTGTTTGCTCTGTAACACACTCATCCTTCCCAGGCAGCTCTTGCCAATGGGATATCCATGGTTTTTGGATATGAATATCGGGGGAGCTTCAGGGAACATTGATTTATTTCTTTTTCTCTCCTTGGTGAGGTGATTCAGGATGGTGGGTGGGGATCAGCTGGACAGACTTGTGTGTTGTCCGGAGCTCAGTCACCAGGAATTCCTTTGGGATCTGTGCTGCTCATTGTGTCTGGGCTGTGTGTCTGTCGCTCTGTGATGTGAGTTACCAATCTGTTTGCACGCCCCAGGCAGGCAGAATTGTGTGAAAAGAAACCTGGGAGAAGACTCCACAGTGTGCAGGAAACCCCAGTCTAGACAAGCTGAAGGTGGTTCATTATTCAGGGCTGCTGCATTTCTGCTGTGGAAGGAAGACAGCGAGTGATTATCCTTGTTATTGTCTCCATAGCACTGGTTTAACAGAACCTGTGAGGTTTAATCTATCTGGGAGAGCAGGTGAAGTTTTGGAGCCCCTCACAATTAGTCAGCAGCTGTAATTGCAATGCACAGCCTGAAATGTTGTGTTGCTCTCAGCTGAGACACGAGGATGTGTCTGCTTCCAGTCCAGTGGCAAGTTCATAAATTCCATCGTTCCAAAATGCAGGAATTCAGCCAAAATAGCTGCAATATGGGATATTATGGCTTATCACCAGCTTCCAGAGCCAGTCCCAGGCTGGGAATTGTGTCCTGCCCAGGCTTTGAGTCACTAAAGTGCAGTGCTGAGGCTACATTTGCAAAGTGTGGGGGCTGTTCCTTGTATCTCAGGGAGGAATTTCGCCTCTCCTCTCTCAAGGCTGCTTGTGAAGGGCAGTGAAGCAGCCTGAGATGGCCTCACTAGAGCATCACACCATGCTGTCATTTTCCATGGCAACTGGAGCAGGAATAGCCTCACATTCCCGTGGCATGTGCCGTTATCCGTGTGCATCCTGGCAGCTGATGCCCAGCGTTACCTTCAATAAAGCAGCAGCCACTGAGGGGAACAGAACACACTTGAAAATCAGAATAACTTGTAAGGTACTAGGAAGTCTTTTCCCATCAGTCTTTAGTTCCAGGGTGGGGCTGCAGTGAATGAAAACGCTGCCAGCAGCAGTTGGATCCGGCACTTTGTGTTCCAATTGTCTCCGAGGGCTGCGGCTTTCGGCGAGCCCCAGGTTAATGAAACTGCAGCGTCAGTGGCTCCGGCCTAACAAAAGGAGCGGAGCCCCAGTTGAACGCACATTTCCCCTCTGCAGTAAGTAATGGGGGCAGGACAAAAGTGCAGTCTTTGGAAAAGGCCCCAGCTCTGCCGTTGCGTTTCTTTGGCGCAGATCAGCAGGGATTAAGCTGTGACCCATGGAAGTTCCTACTAGAACTCCTCTGTGAATACAACTGCTGTCACTGCACATGGCAGGGGAAGTGGTTTCTGCAACCACAGAGTGTCTGTGAAACACTGTGGTCAGACCAGGGCTGAAAGTGAGGAACATCTAATATGAAGTGAGTAAACCCCAAACACAATCACCAAAATATTTGAAATTTGCTCTAGGAAATAATTCTGTAGGGTTAGTGTGGGTGTCCTGATCACTGTCCTGACCAAGATTTTATTAAATTTACTAAGCTAAACAGAGATTTACTGGGAGTTGTACAGGTGGTCTAGAACCCCTTCGTAGCACAGGTCAATGCAATTGTGCCTATAGTCTTCTCTCTGCCTCAAATCTCCCTCCAGCTCTCCTCAAAAAGAACATGTTTCAATGTGAAACCTGTTTGCCAGTACTTGAGAGGAGATGTGAGAGCAATGGGATCATTAAAAAGTCCTAATCTGAATTTGTAGATGCCAAGAAACAGTTGAGGAGGTGTGTGGGGAAGGTGAGCATTGCACAACACAGGTTTAGCACTGATCTCCCCATCCCCTTCCCTGCTCCTTCCCCCCTGGACCAGATTGCCTGGAAACAGCTCTGGACAGTGGAGTGTGTCTGAAGGTGGGGTGTGCAGCACAGACACTGGGCTCAGCTGCTCCAGAGTTATTCTGGCGAGAGAACAATACAGAGAAAACACTAAATCATTTATTCACTGCAAATGTCAATTAAACATTAATCAAATGCCGAGGTAGAATGGGCAATCCAAGCAGTGTTTATTCTGCTGCTGAGTATCCAAATCAATTAAAAAGAGGAACCTTCTCCTACATTGTTTTATTGGAAACTTATGGACTTGCTCATTTTTAAACCTAAGAATCAGAGCAACCCCAGCCATGTAAAATTACAGAAAAATAACTACATCTAAATAATTAATAGTGAATGATTTTCTAATGCTTTTTGCATACTTGTGGTGCTCTGCTGAGCTGTGAACCATTTTCATGGAGCAATTGCTACTTCTGTCACTGAAATGGGTCAATCCACTGTGGATTTACATGATTTTATAGTAACCTTTCATATAAGCACTGCAAAGGCAACACATCCTGGCGGTGTCACCATGACCTGTGTCTCTAGGCAGAGGGATTTCAAGCTTTCGTTCTCCTTATCAGAAATAGAGGAAGGAGTCTGCTGGAGCAGAATGATGAGTTTTAGGCATTCAGGTGGGACCAGGGAGATCTCTGATCCCTGGATCTCATCTCCCAGCCACAGGGTGACAGCGAGCCAGACAATCTGTAGGAGCATCAGCACTTCCTCTGTAAGGATGCTGCTTTCCCCCTTTTGTAGGAATCCCTAAAGCTTCTCATGCATTTAAGGCACCTCGATAACTGTGGTAATGCAATGGCCAGCCATAACTTTTAGTTAGCTCTCCTGGGAGTCTGCCGATGTGGTAAAATGTCATGCAGAGCCCAGATCCAATCTCGGGGAGAGTCTCTGAAGATGGGAACGCTGAGACACTGCCTCCCGATCTCCTAGGTGACAGGAGCTTGTGTCACTAATTGGTCCCCGAGCCTGCGGCACCGGTGACGCGATGGGGCTGAAAGGCAGCAATTACAGCTGAAGGGATTCGGTAAAGAATTCGGTGAGAACGAAAGTTGGGCGTGCACACAGGGGATTTAATCTGTGTTTGTTCACACAGACCTGTTGTCTAGCGAGTTACTCTGAAGAGGAGCCTCGGGCTGCAGGATTAATGTAAGAACCATACTGAGTAAATGATGTCTTTTCTGTGACCAAATCACAGGTACAAAACAAATCTTTTGGTGAAGCCAATACCTTTTGGTTTGTGTACAGCTCTCTCACACATTCGTGCAACTTGACATGGTGAAGAATTCATCCTTTTGAGAAAGTCTTTGCCATCTACCCCACGAATTGCTTTGCTGCTGTCTTGGTACCAAGTTAAAATTGTGAGTCAGCTAATTGAGTTTGAAAAACAATTTAATCCTATTACAGCACATAAGACACTGTCTTTTTTGTTTTTCTTTCAGTAATGCTGGTTCATGCACTACTCCCAGATATTAAGAAACACATTGTAAGAAGTCTGTCTCCTCGAAATAAGGTGTGGACGCACAGCAGGTAAATTCTGCACTCCTTGTCACTGGGACTCCCAGTTCACTTCACCTGTGCCTTGGCTCATCACCATTTTCACAGACCATCATGCAGATAGTTTGTTAAAATATTTGGGTGTGTATTTTCCCTCATACACTTAACCTGTAGCAAACACCTGGATTAGAAGCAGCAGGTAGCAATAAACCAGTGCATTGTGTTTTCCATGTGAGGCAGTGTGTTCAGAAGGAGAGTAGCAGCCCTCATTTGGTTAATGAGGCAGAACCATTATTATAGTAATATTAGTAGTAGTTGTATTACTATATTAACATAATAATAGTAGTAGTAATAATAATAATGGAATAGCTGGCCTTTCAAGAGATGTCTGGGCATGGAGAATTTTTGGAGTGAGAAGCCCTCTGCCTTTAGGGTCGTGGCACAGGGCTCTGCTTGACTGACCTTGCAGCCCTGCTCGTTGGCTCTGGAGGAGCAAGTCTGTGAGCTCATTATTCCATAGCAAAACTCTCCTTAGTACCTGTGACTGTTTTCTGCTTGCAGAGGCTGGCTGCTCTCCAGTGCTGCTGCTCTCCTGCTCTGGGTGACCTTCAAAGAGCAGCAGTCCAAGTTGGATTGTTCTGGGACAAAGGCTTGTTCCCATGGCCTGGGACTCAGTGTCCATGGGACACTCAGCCACTCACTGACCTCACTTCCTCCGCCTTCCCAAGGGCTTTATAAGCATAAGCCAGCAGCAGGGACAATCTGTGACAGGACAGCCAAATCTGCTGTTGTAACCAGCACCACATTCCGTAGTCCTGTGCTGAAACAGGGCCATGCAGGTAATGGATATTTTATCCCAGTCCTTTGTGCGTATGGAGCAATATATTTCCCTACGTATGTGTCAGAGCTTGAAAGGAGGATCCATTTTTAATGAGCTGTACCATGCATAGCTAATGCAGAAGCCTAATCTTAGACACAGATTTTGGGTTTATCCATCAGGGAACCCTGTAACCCCTGTGGTGAGTTAGGATGGCACAAGGAGGGTGCTGTTCCGTGGTGCCTTGGAACACCAGGTGAGAGGCACAGGTGAAGGTGGTTCTGCAGGTGCCTCAGTCCCAGCCTGTGGATATTGCCAAGCACAGCTGCTACATACATAATGTAACAGCCTGTTCCAGCTGACCCATTCCAGAGCCTCTTAAAGCCTCGGTTCCCTGCAGGCAAGGACTAAAAATAAGTCATCTGAGAGGGGTACTAGCTCAGCTAATTAACCAAGGAGCAGAGTACTGACTGCTGCACTGATAACAGTGTCTGGCTGCCTTGTTCCAGTGCCTGGCTCTGCCCATGAGGATCAGGAAGATCCTGCCCAGAGGTGAACTCCACAGTGCTGTGCTGAAATGAGAAGCTCTCCAGCTCAGGATCCAACCTCTTTGGCCAAATCCTCAATCCTTTATGTTCCGGTGGTACAAAGCTTGCACGAAGCTGACCTGGGGTCCTGAGGAGTGTTTCCATCTCACTGAAGATCCATGATTGAAGTCCTGACCTGCCTATGTGATAATTTAAGTCTGTCATGACCACATTGGTGTCAGTGCACCCCACAATGTTCTGGGCTACAAACAGAAGAGGTCAAACTCTCAGTCAGACCAGACACAGAGGCACAAATGCAAGAAGAGGAATTTTTCCCAGCTTAATTTCTGTTTCATTCCACTAGCTTAATTTCTGTTTCATTCCACTTTACCTGTTCTGCTCACTTCAAAGTGGCAGTTCTCCTTCCATGCTCTGGACTGCAAATTTGGGGTGTAACATAAACTTCTCTTTCTCCTAGTTATGTTTTGGGTTTAATATTTTTATTATTATTTTTCAGCAGTCAAGGAGAATTGTCAAGTACCTCATTTATGCTGATTGGAAGTGGCAGAGCAGTCCCACCAAGGCCTTTGTGCCCCAGGAAATCACTGAGGTCCTTTATGGCTGCTGAGCATATCCATCTAGAAGTACCTTTTTGCAATGTTCTCCCTCCCCTGCCAGTTGTTTATTCATGCATCAACAATGAGGAGCAGTTGAAGGTGAGCTTACTCTTGCACTTGTAGTATATTAAAATTAAAGAGCTGTGCTTCCAAGAATTGCACTCTCCTTTCCCAAATACAAAAAGAAAAGCCAGACCTGAGCAAAGTGCACCAGGAGATAGGATATGAACCTCGTTCAGCTCCCATAATTAAATACAGAGATCCACAAGATCAAAGGGCACCTGGGTAAATTAAAAGAAAAGCCGGTATGGAATGGATCCATCTTTGGAGCAGCTTCTTATGGATTAGAATGATGTGAAGCCTTATCAGTCGAGGCAAAGGTGAATGTGGCTGGGATTTAACTGTTTGGGCAGAGTGCACTTCTGGTTTGAATTCAACATAAAAGCTGAACCAGACTGACACCAGTGAAAGGGAGAGATAGCTGTCCTGGACCTGAAAGGAAGGAACTGTCAGAGTCAATGAGAGTCTTTTTGTTCACAGCAAGTGACACTGGGGTGGAATGCTGTCCCCAGGATGTGAGTCTGAGCCAGGCAGGAGAACCTCTGGATGCTCTGGCACAGTGCAGCAGGGAGGCAGGCTGGGCAGGTGAACACTGGGGGGACAGGGGCAGGCACAGCCAGTGGTGAATGGGGAATTCTGGGCAGCAGTGGAGCCAATCCGAGTGGGAGTGACACCTGCAGGGGAGGACAGCACATTCCTGGGAGTGCTGGGGCAGAGACACAGAGAAAAGCCAAACCTGCAACAGGTGGGAGTGACCCCCATGGAATTCGGTGGGAGTGAAGCTGCTTGGACTCATGCAGTGTTGGTCCAATTTAGCATGAGCATTGTCCAGGACACCAGTGAGAGCAGCTCTCCTTGCCCAAGGAGTGCTTTCCATTGCAGAAAGACTCTTGTTCCCACAGCTGAGATTCCCACAGTGCCACCTGAGTTCGAGGCACTCCAGCACCCAGGAGGGTAAGGCAGGGCTCTTGAGCATCCAGGACAGCAGGACCTGAGGCCAATGAGCAGAGATTAGAGGAACAACACACACTTGACTTCTTTATTGTAAATTATCCCACATAATTTCCTACCACACCAGTTGGAGCCATCCCAATACATCTGCAAGGTAAACACAAATCCATAAGGTTCGAGTGCTTCTGCCCTGCCCTTTGTTAGGGCCTCCACTGGTTCAGAAGTCACTGGGGGTAAGAAATAGCTCCTGGAGCCAGGAGAGAGGATTGTATCCTCATTTCCATTTCAATGTGTGCATTGCTCTTCCAGTTCACAGCTCTTTCATGGCAGTGTTGATGATATCTGGGGACAGGGAACAAAGCAGAGATCTGAAGGCATATGTCTGTGCACTGAGCTCTTTCTGCAGCAATTAAAAAATCACATCACTTTGAATTATGCGGGACCCTTGAAAACCTTCCCTTCAGAGCTGTGAAACTTCAGAGTTTCAGTGAAACTTCAGTGCTGCTGGCCTTGCTCCTTTGCCCTGCTCTCCAATTTCCATATACACTTTTTTCCTTGGAGTAAAATGGGTGTGTGCAGTGTCTCAGTGGTCCAGCCTCTGGTGCCACCCCAAAGGAGCATCTGACTTGACCAGAGTGTGAGTAGCCTGGTAGGTTTGTGCTGAATCTCAGTCTTAATAATATCAGGTTATGGATATAGATATATAATATCAGTTAGTAATGTGCAGATATTCCCATGCAAGGAGTGGCAAAACTTTATGGAACTGAGATGATGGATTGATCACTAGGGCTGGCTGCTAGCTTAAAGCAAATTATTTTCAACACTTGGCTAGGCCTTTGCTAGGCTTAAAAGAGCTGCCTGTCCATCCCAACATCCACAACCCTCAAAGCCTATGGATCTGTGGTGGTGTCTCTGATGAGTGAGGGCTCACTTCATCCCTGGAAGTGCTGCAGAGCCATGGGACTCCCCCTGGAACGTGGAGCAGAAATCCTGCAGATGCTTAACCCACATATTTCTCTGTGATGACAGGACATCTTATTGCAATTAGTTTGAGGGACTAAAAGGGACTTGGGAGGCTCTAGCCAGGAAAAAGAGAGAAAACAGGGTGTGGAGACCTCTTAACCATTTCCCCAGTGTTTGGTGCGTGACTGTGAGTGATTTATTGTGCCTGAACTGAAGTGGAAGATAGAGGATCTCAGAGCTTTGCATGCCAGGTCAGTGTCAGACACATCCAGACCCACAGAGGACACCCACACTGTGTGACCCTATGTATTGTTCCAGCATTAATTTGGGATCATGAGGCCTGTTTTCAATGGCTAGACTATTCTTCCCCCAACTTTGCTGTTACCTACCATAGCCTGAGTTGTATTTTGCTCAGCAGGCTGCTTGGGGGTTAAATATCATTTACACTTGCATCTTTCTCTTTTGACTGTAAGAATAACTCAGTCTGCTCCCTTAGACAATTCCTGGGTATTAATTGCAGGTTTATTAGCTTGCTCAGAAGTGTTTCTTCTTTACAGGTGAGCTGTGATCTCAGCAGATGAATAAATGTTCCCATCCTAGGAAACATCACTGATGATGGACTTTTAGGCTTATTTATATTTGTTCTCTCCAGAAGAGGAAAGGAGGGAGATTCAGTTTTGGTTAAGGAAAATCCTTTCTTGTATCACTGGAGGTGGGCAGAAGAGCAGGTTGGTGTGAGAGCCACAGGGCCTGGCTCTGAGCAGTGAAAATACACCAAAAGAGCTTGACATGGCTGAGTGTTTCCTAAACAGAGCTGCAGGAGAGGGAAGCATCTGGTGGAATTAATTGCCTGTAATTTTCTGGAGGTGATAGCTGAATGGGATTGGCTGCAGCAGAGCAGAGATCAGAAGGGTGGGGACAGGTTTTATTTTTTTTCAACAAAAATTGTATCTGAAAGAACATCTCAAAAGGAAAAGCTGCATGCAGAGACTGTCTTAAGACATTGACATGTCCCAAAAGCTTCAGCTGCTGAAAAAACATATTGTAGAAAATTTAGGTGCTTGTGCCAATAAATGGCACAGACACATTGGCTGAGGGTTCCAAGTCCCCTTTTCCAGTAGCTTGAAAATGTCACATTTGAACTTTTCAGACTGAAGCATCCTGCCCTCAGTGCCAGGCTCATGTTGAATTTGCTTTTGCTGTGGATTTTTAACTTTCAACAAAAGCACTTCAGCTTTTCCTCATAACCAGTTATGTCCCACATACATGATTTGGTTTTTTTATATATTGGTTAAACCTCATTGACTTGCTCTTTTGGGAGGTGGTTACCACAGGTGTGATTGGCCTCATCTGTGAAAGTAACCCCAATTTAGACCTTATAAAACCTCAGTAACACCACCTTCTACCAGGAGGAGCTTTGTTGGAGTTTGTCAGGGAAGAGTCTGTGTGGTGAAACAGATCTTGGGTGAGTCTCTGATAAAACTGGACTGAACACAGAGCAAGGAATGGCATGGTCCAGGGGTGACAGATGTTCCTGAAGGGCAGCCCCTGAGAGAGGAGGGAGAGACAGCACTTTCAGGGATGTATGGGTGCAAGGGTGAGGTCTGGTGGAGTGGAATTTAGTCGATCAGCATGAATGAAACAGGTTTCCTGGAGCCTGAATCTGACTAGATAAACAGAGGTAACGATTGGAAGCCAAATAATGAGGATTGACAGGCAGGGCTAGGAAGCAGGAGGGCGTTAGTCATGAGCACCAGGAAAAACAAAACCAACCCAAAAACCAGCACAGAGATGAGAAATCAGAGTTAAGAGCAGAAAGCCAGGCATCAAGTAACATGTAGAAAAATGAGGAGAAAACAGAGTGTCTGCTCATTGCTATTAGGGATCATTTTTCCTGGAGACAGAAAGAGGGCTGGGGCCCAGTGGGATAAATAGTGTGTAATAGTTCATAGCACAGGGAGGGCTGAATTAAAGTTGCACAAGCAGCTCTTCATCTGCGGAGGTGGGAGAGCACTGGAAAGTTGCATTAGTCAGAGGAGTGGTTTGGTATTTTTTATTTGTTCTCAGGGGTTTTTTGTTTTCACCAAGGAGGGTAAGTGATCACTTCAAAAATGTTATAGGCTGCATAATGAATGAGTAATGAATTTTCTTCCCCTTGGAACCTCCACATCTCTAAGGAACACAAACCTAACCAAGATGTAATCCAGTTTGCCCAGGATTTATGGCTGGGGAAGGAAATGATGATGGGGAATGTTGTGGCCTATGGAAGAGGGACATTCAGGCAAATATTCCTAACTGTGAAGTCCCTGTTCCTTCAGTGCTGACATTTCTACATTTGCTTTGCTTGACCACCACTTGAATGCTGCTTCTTGGAGTTGCTCAGCTTTCCATGAGCATGGGAAAGTGCAGGAAGGAGCAGGAAGTCTTTCCCTGACTTGTGGGCAGCCCAGATCAGTTCCATTGGCTCCTCTCTGCTGCACAAGCCTGGCCTGGCAGTATGAGCATCGTTGGAAAAGCTGGAGGAGGGATCATCTTTAGGGGCCCCAAATCTCTCCTGGAGTTCTGTGGTCATCAGGGACCAGATGATTCTAGAAGTTGCTTTTGACTCTCTGCTGCTTTCTCCCATCTCCAGCCTTCCCTGTGGGAATTGGCTGCTGAGAGGAAGCTGATCCTGACCTTCAGGCCTCTGCTGGGGACAAGGGATTTGTCCTGCAGCCTGGACAGGCAGCA